CAAAAATTACAAAAAAAAAAAAAAAAAAAATCGAATCTCCAGGCATATTTTCTATCTATAGAAGGTGAAGACGCTCGAAAATAGCCAAGTGGTAGCACAAAGTCAGCAACAATGACCATTTGCCGTTTGAACAGTTTTTCATGAATCGTAAGAAAACTGCTGGTCCCCAGAAAATGCAAAAATGAATTTACCGGAAAGGCCAGCATACTGCGACAAAGCGATTGAATGCAATATACAGGAGGATGATGAGTTCACAATTGAACACAAAGAGATATATTATAATTAAGTGAAAGCACTTTTTTCGAGGCATTCTGGAGTGGTGTGTCAAAATGAGTGCAGCATCCATTCCTTCCATTAGACATGAAATCTAAAAATCGGTTTGATCAACGGGCTTTTTTGCCAGCAAAATTCAAAATCTAGTTGGCAATGATGGCTGGGTTTAAGCAAAATTATAAGCACCAATGAATGGATGTAAGTTTGGAAGCATATCGGAAGTATTAAAAACCGAAATCAATAGTATATATGAAGAAAATAACAATTTAGTTGAGATTAAGAAGTTTCCATCCATAAAACTGCTAACTTCTTAGCGCGAAATTAAACTAAAGTCTGAGCACGGCCGGAATGAACAAAAAGTCTGATTAATTTGGAAGTACACCAAGATTTGCTTACTGGCAGCAAGAAACAGTGCAAAAAGACGCTTTTTGTTCAGCTAAGCTTGAGAAGTATCATTCATTGTCAGTCTTATTGGCATGCTGGTAATCAAGAAAAAGTCATGTTTTCTATAATAATGATTTGTCTTTAGCAATTCATGCAGATGTTGCCTAAGACTACAGTTGATCCAGAAGTTCCTTCTACTGAGCCAGGAAGGAGGAGAGGTAAGGGCGAGAAAGGAATAGGGCGTGGGAGAGGAAAGGGGGGAAAGAGAGGAGAAAAAGAATAATGTTTAATTGGTGGTTTCTTCTCAGTGATCCGAGGGTTACAGCTAAGAATCTTAGTAATTTCACAGGTTCGCAAAAAGGCGAGAAAATAGCTGGTATATGTAAGCGTTGTGTCCCTCCGTAACCACATAAACAATTCGGACTCTCCGTCAAGAGAGTAGCGTGCAGGATATCATTTTGACCACACGAGAAAGTAAAATCTGTGGGTCTCGACATATCAATTACCATGCCGACAATCGCTGGACGTTGCGCGTTAGTGAGATGTACTTGCGAGAAGGCAAATGACTACGAAAAATTGTTCAG